TCGCAGGAAAAAAAAAAAAAAAAAAAAAAAAAAAAAAAAAACACAATCGCCTTAAGGAAACTGCCACCCCGACTCCACTGCCGGCCTGAGTTACAACCGCCGTTTCAAACTCAGGCCATGACAAAATTGCAGACCCGTGTTATTTTCGCCCAATACAAACTCCCATGTAACATAAACGTACTTCCCTCGAAACTGCTACCGTCTTCCCCCGAACAGAACGCACCCTGAAAATGAACGTATACAGGGTATGTTTCCGGCCGGATACAGGCAAAATGGGGGTGCGTTGTGCTCGGGGGAAGAGGGTAGTGGTCGTGCATGCTTGACTTCGCTAATGTTGCGTGTAGTCGTGGTGAATAAGAGGCGCCACCCCTAACAGCCCCACTGCTGGCTCGGATGTACGGAAAGCAGGTGCTGTCCGTTGATACTTCTTGAAGTGCTGCATGCTAGACTTCGCTAATGTTGTGCGTTTCTTTTAGTTAAACCACAGACGTTCGCTACAGGGGTGTCCAGTCTGCTAACGGCTATTGGCTATCGGCTATCGGCTATCGGCTATCTCCAGAACTTGAGAAGGCAGACGTTCGGTACAGGGGTGTCCACTGTCCTGTCTGGTATTGGCTATTGGCTATCCCCAGAACTTGAGAAGGCTTTCCCTTCCAAAAAAAAAAAAAAGAAAAAAAAAAAGAAGGCTTTCCCCACCCACTGGACCGCCAAGCCTGGTCACGGCCTGTTATCACTGACCCTGATCTCTCTACCGGGCAAGCTTATTACCTAATTGTGGACGGGAATGTGGCCAGATGCATACAGGTCCTGTCGTAAATGGGGTCAGATTCATTTAAGATAGTGCGCGTGTGAGTACGCCCAAAGAAGAAGGAGGAAAACATTCCATGATCGCAATATTAGAATGCAGCAAAATTTGGGAGCAGAAGGACTGAAAAATAAAAATAAAAATGAAAGGGAAAAAGTACCGAAAACAAAAAGCAAAAGTACAAAAGAGAGCGAAAACATCGTATTACCAAACACGTCGCATGCAAGCAACGCATTGCAGCGCATTGCCCAAGCCAAGCGAGACCAGGGCCGAGGTCCCACTAGCAAAGAGGGTCGGATGGATTGCCTGAATGTGGATGTGTTTTATGCAGAGATGCACAAAAGCAGTTCAATCTCTATTTCCTGCACCTCTCCACAAACACGTCCAGATGCAGGCATTCCATATGATCCTCTTTGCTAATGGGACCACGCCCCAGAGCAAAAGGAAAAAGCCATCACCCGAAAAAAATCAATCCCCCTCTTCATTTGTTTTCCTCACAAACATTTTGTTCACTCGAAAAAAA